GTTTCCATAACAGTCTTTCTTTATGAACATTTCTCATAGTTTAGGGAAATTATTTCCCACTACGATAAATTTACACTAATGTAACACTTTATATTTTCATATAAAATTTTTTAGATAAAAGTTTTACTATGCATTCATTTCTTTTTGTCTGGAGTTTTCATATAAGACACCCCCTCCCCACAAACACACTCACAAATGACCAAACCATAGACATTAGTGAGAGAAGTTAAATTGTACAAAATTAAATATACTTTGTACAATATGGTATTCAGTTATAAGTACTTTTGTCAGCTGTCAATTAATCTATTTTAACAGGGATTTAGTACTTTTAACTATTCAATGTCACTTTCCTGTAATAGTCAGTAATCATGTAAGGTATTTCCGGTTGTTTTGTCTCTACTTCCATGCAGTGAAATCTCCATATGGTATAACCAGTCAAAATGCAAGCTATATCTATTAATATGTCTTGTAGAATCCAGGATTAATTTTATAACCCATAATATTTATAATTCCAAGTCAACGACATTCTATAGCACAGTGTATCAATCTAAGGCTGTGTCACTGAAAACAATTTCTATATATGTCAGAAGAATGTCACCATGGAAACCAATGCAACAACTGCCATATTCTAAAGAAATTTAGATCTTTGTTTCACAAAAACATGTTGATTAATATTTTATTTGTATATGTCTGATGACAGTTTTGTAACACCTGCCAATGCAGCCTAAAATAGGGTCTAGTGTGAATAATGTCAGCTTATCTACGTCACGTACATAGCCTCATGGTTAGCATTTACCAAGTATAAGACATTGGTCTAGTGTGAATAATGTCAGCTTATCTACGTCACGTACATATCCTCATGGTTAGCATTTACCAAGTATAAGACATTGGTCTAGTGTGAATAATGTCAGCTTATCTACGTCACGTACATATCCTCATGGTTAGCATTTACCAAGTATAAGACATTGGTCTAGTGTGAATAATGTCAGCTTATCTACGTCACGTACATAGCCTCATGGTTGGCATTTACCAAGTATAAGACATTGTACAAACTAAGCTATTTATCAGTGCTGATTGCTCCCATATGTGTTTACAAACTTATAATTGGCAAATATCCTTATATTATTATCTTATGTTTTATTTTATTAGCTCAATTTATTGTAGTATGAGACTGAATTAATTACATGTAATTCTACGATACCAGCGTACATGTGGACATTCATCGTATAGTAGCTTTTCTAATACATGATAAAATGGACATGATAAAATATTTATATGAATATTTTTGACTGTAATAATAAAAAGATAAAGGTAGCGTGATATTTTTAAAATTTTTCATGTTTTGACATATTCTAGTTGTTTGTAATATAGTTAATAGTAAAATGAAATTTGAGTTTCCACTGCTCCTTCTAAAACTAGTATTCTAGTTTGAATGTGATACTAGAGTCTTAGAAATATCCATTTGTGACGCTAATGTATATATATGATGTCTGCAACACAATTGGAATAAATATTCAACTAGAAGTGTATGTGACTACATAAATAAGAAAGCCATGTCTATGATCAAAATAAGTGATATTTGAATTGTGCAGTATAGGGCGTCGTACTGTGACGTCATAAGTTTACATTTTTGTCAACCAGCATGTAAATGTCATCACTAGCTGATGATGTGCTATGATAACATTGCCCATACATGTAAGATGTTTTATTACCAGGAATACATACATTGTATATTTAATAAAAACAGAAGTGCAGAACGACGTTATTTTATCTTTGGGTGCGAATGACCAATTCTTGCCACTGTTATTTACATGTGATTCTCTTGAAGATGGTAATCTAATAGAAAAAATACAGTATTCATCACAATAGGAATCCATCCACAAAAGGATTAAACTAATACCGGTACATATTACATATATACCGGTATAAGTTTAATCTTTTGTATATATATATATATTTATATTCATGTGTTTAATATTAAATGACCTCTCTAGACTAATAACCAAAAATGTTTCTTGACAGATTGAATGAAGCCAATAGTCAGCTATTAAATTAAAGCTGTTATTGTTTCCTGGCATTTATAATCGCACTAAGAGAAAAAGTAAGACTAAAAATGGAACCCAGTAAATACTCGTATCACAAATCTGCCAATTAAATATTTGAAATTCTTTATAGCTATCAAATTGAAGACCATTTATGAATAAATAATAATAATTAATTCCTGTAATAACAATAACATGTAAATTATTAAACCTAGGTACCAAAAATTCACATATATATACATTGTATACTCATACTCCAAGCTTGCAATTGGAAACTAGCCAAACACAAGATGCCATTTTAGCTTAACCCAGACACAAGTATTTACTTTAATAACAATGTAAACTATTATAAACCAAAAATCAGCATACATATATATTCATCAAGCCTGCAACTTAGAATTAGCCAAACACTCAAACTGCCATTTTAGGGTGTCATCCCCAAGTTTGATTCAGGATTTAGAAGATCCCATCGAAACAAGTAGTGGAGATATGTAATAGCATACCGATATAATGACTTAACATCAGATCCAGTCTGTCAAACAGCTCACAATAACCTTTATCAATAATTTTGTTCATTTTCAGACAGATTTATGGCAAGATTGGAATGGTTCCAAGGATGACTACACTTGTATGCAGACAAACCATTGGAAAAGTCAACGCGTATGTATAAACTCTTTTTTTATGTTGTCATTATTTGTGACATTGGTTTGAATTATTATAAGATATGGATCAAATTAAAGAGAGTGCAAAATGTAATTAAATATTTTATGAATTCTAAAATACTTTGTGAAGTGTTTGAAATTTCTCAATATTTGACAGGGTGGGTAACTTTCAAATTTCACCAGTCCTGCCAGAAAGTTTTCAGCTCTGTATTAAAGATTATTTTAAATTATTTTTGTTTCCCATTCTCAACACAAAATTAATAAGTTTCCCATTTTAAATTGTTACGTTCTTTGTATCAACCATCAGAGGTTCGATACCTTAATATTTTTATTCAGTAAAATTGCATTTTAAAAATTTGCATTTAAACAGGCAACATACAAGGGTATGTAATTTTTAACAAATATAAACAGATTTAAAAAGGCTGTAGAGATTACTTTAAATGCTTAGATCTTTTGCTCAGTTTTCTTATTTAAATATCACAACACAGTATACAAAGTTGGTCAGTTTATTCAAACAATTAAAACCTGTCTACATCAAACACCTTTTCAGTAACCTCTGTAACACAACTTATTTCTGAGCCTTATTGGTGTCAGTTTATATGTTTCAATTGTGGGAACATCTAACACCCCCCCCCCCCCCAATGGTGCATTTAGTATTCTCATCATGAGTTAATTATTCTTGTGTTATGTTTTTGCAGAATGATAACATACAATGGGATAAGACACCTGAGCTAAAGAAGTATGAACCAGTAAGACATCTTAAATATTGTCAATGTATAATCTTTTTGTATCTTAAACATAATTGAAATAACAACCGATACAAGATTGTTATTCCCAATTCAGACAAAGTAAAGATTAATTGTTAATTTTGAAATTCTTACAAGATGTGTATGACTATTAAATTAAAATTACGGTCGGATATAACAATTACTCCATATGAGATATACTTTTTTAACCACACCTAATAATGATGAAGATGACATTCAAGACAAGTCATGTTATGTAAATTCAGCAAGCCAATGGTAGCTTATCAACAATGTGATTTAATTCCCTGATTCATTGAAATGGGCATGATTTTTGGAAAACACTTTGAAGAAATTTATTTGTTATCACTTTTAAACTTCCTGATTCATGAAATAATCCTGTATAAAAAAACACACACCAGTCTTATTATGTAATTGTTGTTTCCTATGTCACCAACTGGCCAACTATTTAAATTGTGAAATTAGTGGTAGATCATTGTCTTTTTGTTTTTACAGCCAACACATGTCTGTATGCAACAAAAAATATACTATAGTGACAAAATCCCAACTGTAGGACCACACCGCCCTCTATGGCCAAAGTATGGAGAGTATTTATATTTGCCACCTCAGCGATATCTTCATACACTGGAGGTGAGAATTAACTTACAATTATACTATAATTTCTCATTTATGCTTTCCATTTCATGAATGCTTTTTTTTTCAAGATAATTTTGAGAATTGAAATGAATTTCCAGCTGTGTGTTTTTTAAATCAATTGGAACCATTACCGGTAATTGCCAAACTATTGGTTACCGTTATATTTTCAGATCATGTGGACTGGGTTTAGAGTTAATAGGTTTTCAATACGGAGCAAATGTACAATGCAGTATGTGAGAGTTTCCATTTAATAGAAATTGTCACTTTATTTATCATTTCAGCATGGTGCCATAGTGGCCATGTTCCACCCATGTACAGATAAAAATGAAGTGGACATATTAAGAGATGTTGTTATTGGATGCCTTGGTAGATATATCATTACACCTAATAAACATCTTACAAAGGACAGGGTAAGGCATATTTATTGGCAATATTGGTGAATGACTTAAGGGTCAAAGTTAGCATTAGTGGTGACAATGATGGGGGAGGGTTAAGGTTGACACTGGTGGTGGCAGGGTTAAGGGTCAAAGTTCACAATGATGGTTGAGGGTCAAAGTTCACAATGGTGGAGAAAGGGTTTATGGTTAAAGTTCACAACGATGGTGGAAGGGTTTATGGTTAAAGCGCGGTAGTCGTCGCGCTGCGCATGTTTGAGATATATGGGTCTCATATAAACAAAGATGGCGACTTTGACTGTTGCGCAGAACAACGAGTACGAACTCGAGACGTTTTCAAGCTTTAATTAGGTGATTTTCATGTGATTGGAAGGTATCAAAAGAGTCACCGGTGGTAATCAGTGCAAATCGCGCCCAGGTCAAACCTCATACTTGTGATTTCCATTTGAAGAGCGCATTGGATTGTGGGAAAATCAATGTTTATCAATACAAATGTCGCCACTCTTTAAAGTTGACACCGGTGGAGGAAGGGTTAAGGTTGACACTGGTGGAGGAAGGGTTAAGGGTCAAAGTTAACAACAATGGTGGAAGGGTTAAGGTTGACACTGGTGGAGGAAGGGTTGAGGGTCAAAGTTAACAACAATGGTGGAAGGGTTAAGGATCAAAGTTCACAACGATGGTGGAAGGGTTTATGGTTAATTGACACTGGTGGTGGAAGGGTTAAGGGTCAAAGTTGAAAACAACGGTCGAGAGGTTCAAAGTTCACAATGATGGTGGAAAGGTTAAGAGTCAAAGTTGAAATAATTTAGCATTATCATAGCAGTGAGAGTAGTGTTCTAATTATTATGTCTGTCTTTTTCAGCCAATAGCATTGATTGCATGGCGACAGATCTTACGTTTACCTTATGCTGATAAAGATGTCATACAAACCTTTATTAAAGAACATGCGTTCAGAGGACCAGAACAGAATGCATATGATGGACAATTTGATGACAACTTGATTGTACATTCTAAGATCAATCTAAAAGAAATACAAGCCACATTGTGTACTTAGTAATTTCAAGCGTACATTCAAATGACAACACTCAAGGGAAACGGAAAGATTCTTATTTAGGCTTACCTTACAATACAAAGCAGTGTTATAATCCTTAAAGTTACATTTCCATTTCCAAACCGAGGTACCATCAAATATTGAGATTGTGGGAATAATGGAGAAATTAAATACAAAATATACATTTAAGCAATCCTCATAAAACCTTCCAGTGCTAACGTTGTTTTCTCCCAATTCATTTTGGCTGTCAGTGGAGTCTTTTAGCAGGTGATGTGATAAGCTGAAACAGCATCATTTTAAACACATATTTTATGTTTTTATTTTATTCTGGAAGTGATATTTACATATTTGCAATGTAGGAATGTAACTTTAACTCACTGTTAGAATACAATTCTATTGAGACTCTGAATCACTTAAAACAAGTTCTTGTAATCTGATATTTAAAAGGTATTGGTCGTCGTGATGAGTCAATGTATGACATGGGTCCCATGAATGCAATGTACACATGTCATACATACATGCTGCATGATTCCCAATGCAGGGCTTGATGTTAACTTCTCAACTTGTCTGAAATCTGTATTGTATAGTAGTACTAGTATAGTCTGTAAAGGCACGCGAGTTAATTTTCAGTTGTCTGAATGGCAATTTAACTATATGACTGCCCTCAGTGTCAATCTCTGCACTGTCATTATACGTCTTTCCATGGAAGTACCTGTGTGCCTTGACCTTTCCAGGTACGATTAGATAAATTCTAGTTGTTTTTGGTGATGAATAATATTGTGCACGTCTTCTAAATATTAATAGCATATACTCGTGGCATCATAGGTTGTATTTTTCACCTACCTTTATTTATGGAGATATTACTAGCCAATCTCGTCACTTGTATTCTGTCAACATGGAATATAAGGTGATAACTTTTGTTATCACATGACCTACTCAGTTTCAAAACAGAGAAATTGTAATTTTACATATCATATGCTAATTAGGGGAGACGTCTAATTGTGTCGGTGGTTCTGCATTTGCAGTTACGGTTGCTGATGGTTTGGGAAATATAAAGTTAAATTATATTAATGAAATAACTTAAAGCGATAATTTTTTTTAAATTAAATTCAGTCATTATTTTTAATTTCACCATGCAAGTAATTGTTATTCAGTTTGAAATTCTTGTATTGTAGAGATAAAAATGATACCATTGCCTGATTCTGTTACCTTCACAGACTGCTGACTTTAGTGTGAAATATCTGATATTCTACACTGTATGTCACTACTGTGAATGATATACACTGTGGTCATGTGATAAATACCATATTACTTCTATTAGTACATTTGAATGTGAAAAGCATATTTTAGCATTCTTTGAATTATACTAAACTAAATCAGTCATCTGATATGTAAACTGCACGACTAGTCAGGTACGTAAAAGCGTACATTCTTCTAATAGAAGAAAAAATGTTGTAATTAGTATTTTTGATGCCATATGTATATTTTAAGATGTAGAGGGAAAGATCTTGCATTGGTGTTGTCTGAACATTTGTTGTAGCAGTACATTTAAATTGATGCCCACTTAATTCAATAACATTAATGGAAAGTTATTTGAAAACTCATATATACCAAAAACCACTTGTATTCTGTTTTATTTCTCCAATTCTGATTTAATGGAGAACAAGTGTTCTATGGATTTTAATCAAAAACACACGTTTTGACAATTATCTCTAATTTGGGACTCAAAGTCACTAATTGGTTTTCCGCATTGGTTCGTAAATGTAACTATGGCAACAATCATCAAAATACATTCTGTATTTAAATTTCAGGGATGAGGTATCTATTTACCTTTTGTAGATCATTTAATTGTAAAACTTCTAGAAATTGATACCATTTGAATATTTATGGGAGTATTTGAGTACTAGACTCCAGTGTAATGTCCACTACTGCAGAATCTTATGATTTTCCTGACTTGTATTTATGGGGTTTTAATTTCAATATTACATTTACAGGAAGAAAAAGTGAATTTGTGTTCCTACGCCTGTATTGCAGGCAATTAATACTGTGCAGTGTTCTAGCATTGTGGTCTCCTCATGTAGGAATTATTATATTACCAGTATACCATGATGAATCCTTGTAACAAGAGACCATTTTCCATTCACAGTGAAAATTGAATGTAAAAGCAGGACAAACAAAGGTCAAACCATGTGGGATTCGACAAACGCAAAACAAATTTTTTTGGTATTTCCACGTTTTGATAATAGTGTGCTATACACATCTGCTGATGGTCATTTTTGATGCAGTAATGATAGGCATTTTGGTGTATAAAATAAAGTGTTATTGTGCAGACATTTGATGCAAGACCTAACAGTGAATGGAAAATCACCAATTACTAATGTTCACATTCATCTGTTTCAACTATAAAATAAAAGGTAACAAGAAAAATTTGCGACTAGATCGCTTAAGTCAGAACACTGTATATGAATACACAATTCACTATTTCACCTCAGATTTATTTTACATTAATAGTTCAGGACTTGAAATTCAGATACCATGGCAATAATTGCCTCATAGTGAAA